GTGTACCCTTCTCACAGGGTGCTAGAAAATGACACGCCAACTTTCTCTGATAAGGAGCTGGGAACACGCCAACTCTCTCTGATATGGAGTTGTCCTTCACAGACCACAACGGAGCCAGCGCCATCATGTAATGGCGACCACAGTCCGCAGGAACGGCTCACCACAGGGTCTCACTAAATTGCTGAGGCTGGCCTTGAACTTCTGATCCTGCTGCCTTAGCTTCCCAAATTGTTGAGATTATAGGTGTGAGCCACCATGGGTAGTGTCTAATGTTTTGAGACTCATTCTTTAAAAAATATATATGTTTATTTTTTAGTTGTAGTTGGGCACAATACCTTTATTTTATTTATTTATTTTTATGTGGTGCTGAGGATCAAACCCAAAGCCTCACACATGCTAGATGAGTGCTCTACTACTGAGCCACAACCCCAGCCTGAGACTCATTCTTATTGATGCCTGTGGAATCTGTGTTACCCCATTGTTATGAATATGTCATACTTTATTCTGCCAGTGAACATTTAGTTTATTATCAGTTTGGGGATATTACAAATAATATGCCTATGAGTGGTTTTTGTACCTGTCTCATGAATTTCTGCAAGGGTTTCTCTAGGATTTATTCCTGGGAGTGGCATTTCTGAAACCTTGGATAAACAGCTCCTCTAGAAAGTTCCAAACCACTCTTCAGAGAGGATGGGTCAATCTAAATTCAACTGGTGATGCAAATAACACTAGGTGATATTGTTAAACTACTGGATATTTGCCAATATGATGGGTATGAAAAGAAATTTTGTTAATATTAACCTTTATTTTCTAGATTACTAGGGAACTGAGCATCTGAAAAGGCATTTATTGATTATTTCCATTCCTTCCTCTGTGAATCATATGGTCATCTCTTGCCTCTTTTTCTATGAACTGGTTGTCTATTTCTTAACTTCTTCTAGAAGTTCTTTGTGTTATTCTGGATACCACTTATTTGCTGCTATAAGTGTCATCAGTCTCTTCTCCTATTTGTCTTGTTAGGAGTATGTGGTGTCTTTTGATGAAGATTTGATCCCAGGGCTGCGTTGGGCAGAGATGCAGTTCTGTGATCCTCTTGGGATCATGTTTCAAGGCTTTGTTGCTGAGAATAGCTAAGGAGTGTCCCATAAAGTGATTTTCAAAGGTAAGGAAAATCTTCTGGACATGTTCAATTTGGTTAATAATCCATTATTAACCATTAAAATGGGAACCACATATTTATTTAAACTGTAAACTCATTGCCTTCAGGAGGACAGGTGGGTAACAAAAGATTAAAGAGGATGAGATGGAGCCACATCTCTCTCCAAGACACTTATTTGATGCTGTCTAAAGCATTTAAATCCCCACAGCAACCCTATATGAGGAGGAAATCAGTATTAATGTCAATTTGCAGATAAGAAAGCCCAGGCTGAAAAGTTAAGCCACTTTTCCAAAGCCACATAAGTAGAAAGTTAATGCACCAGGATTCGACACTAAACTATCTGCTTCCTTAGCCCATCTCCTGAACCATGATGCTAAGAAATACAGAGGTGCAGTTGAGATGATGATGTGTGACAACTGGGCCTGAGTGTTGGAAAGTGATAGGGCATGGTGGGGACTGCAGCAAGCTGGAGAGGAAATGCCTGTCCTGGATATAATGTTTCCTCCATTCCACCTGCCTCAAGTCAGCAGGGAATGCAGACCTAGAGCTGCCAGATTGAATTTTTTTTTTTATGAGAGGCTAGAAATCCAGATGTTTATGAGAATAGCAACTGATTTTTAAGTACTGGCAATCAAATTCAATAATTTCACAAAATTTTCAGGACAAATAAAGTATTTTTATGGGTCTATTTTATGACCTTTGATTTGACCCAGAATGAATGATTTCTTTGCAGCCAAAATTGCCTTTGGGGATAAAACCATATGAAATGCTACTTTCTTCTACTTGTTACTCAACAGAGGTTATTTTAGTGCAAGGATCTCCCCTTATTTGAATGCTTAGTAATTGGAGTCCCCAAAACAATCATGTGTCATATTAATCTAACTTTTTTGAGTTCCTTTTACCACAGGGGACAAGCAAAACAACTGAGCAGGAAGGAATCAGATATGTGGGATGTGTGCCAGCTAATATTTTCACCTAAACTCTGAATCAGAGAAGCGTTTTCTTAGTAATTTTTAAACATATCTGCAGTAGCTATAACTGTCTTAAGATTATAGAAGCCTAATAGACACTATTCTTATGTTGTAAGGGTTAACAAAATATCTTTCTTTTCCAACAAATAGATTGATAAATGTGACAAAATTTCTCCTTTGAGGATCACCATGGTTTAAATTAGTTCTTCCATTGGAGAAATATCTGTTCTTTTTCACCTTCTTTAAGTCTATTTCTTTGTCTGAATTATTTACTTCATAAATTTTTCTTTTCTCTTTTATTTTTTTGAAATGGTCCCTGAAACACTTTCTATGGTTCCCCTTCAAACTTCAGCATACCTTTTCAATTAAATATTTATTCATGTTCTTAGGCCTGAATCTCATCCTCAAAATTATACTCAAGGCAGGGAATTTCTCTTGTTCAACAAAGAGATGGTGTCACTGCATTTCTAAAGCATCCTTTTCTTTTATGTGTGTATATAATTTCAATCAAATTTTATAACTATGGAATACATATGCTTTTAACTTCTTTTGTATCTCTCTGCCCTGTAGCTTTTATTCCACAAAGTAAATATCAATAATCACTTCTTTTTGTAGTACTAGGGATTGAACCCAGGGCCTCATGCATATTAGGTAAGCACTCTACCACTGAACCACATCCCCAGCCCTCCATAAATAATTCTAACCCTTCTTTGAAGATTTATAATCCATAAATGTATGATTCTATTGAATAGAACTGGAAATCTCTAGATTAGCATGGGGGGGCTTACCATTGTTACAGCTAACATTTTTTAGCAGTTATTAACATAGAATTTCATTTAATCCTCATACAACAATTCTATGAAGTAGGTGTTATTATTATCCCTATGAAAAAATTTTGAAACCAAAATTTAGTAGTTTCAAGATCATAGAGAAGCCCTCCACCCCTGGGTCAGCCCCAAATTCTAAAAAATGTTCTAGTGGAAGAAAGGGGAGGAATGAACAGAGGGAGAGAAATTTGCTTCTCATCAAGACTGTAAAGTAAGGGCTATTTATTAGTTGGTAATTTCAAAATATTTCACAAATTCTTTGATATTTCTCCCTTCAAAAAGTGGAGCCTAATTTTCTCCCCTTGAGAGTGGACTGTGTTTTTATAGGCTAGCATGTGATAGAAGGACAATGTATGACTTCTGATATAGTCATAAAAGGCATTTTGATTTCCTTCTTGCTTTCTCTCTTGGTCACTCACTCTGGAGGAAGCCAGATGCCATGTTGTGAGGATGCTCAAGCAGATCCGTGGAGAGATCCATATGCCAAGAAACTGAGGCCTCCTGACAATAGCCATGTGAGACAATCATCTTGGATAACCATTCTTTAGCCCAGTTAAGTCTGCAGATAATGACAACCTTTGTTGACTTCTTGACAGCAACATTATAAAAGACCATGATGGAACAGAATCTCTCAGCTAAATTGTCATAAATTCCTGACCCATATGAACTGTGAGATAACAAATATTAGTTATGTTACTCAGCTGTTTGGAGGTAATTTGCTACATAGCAATAAATAACTAATTTAGCTAGGTTATCCTCTAAGTGAGTAAGTCTTACTTTTTGGTGGGGATGGGCCAGGGACTTCTTTTAGAATTTA